GCGTAAGTCCTCCTCTTCCAGTGATACTCTTGTGAAAAATGCAAAAATCACAGCCTTTGCTGCCCCAGGGCGGGTAACACAAGCAACGCTTGACAAGCTGATGCTAAATTTTGTATGTGATGCCAACCAACCATTTTCTGTGGTTGAGACGCCATCCTTCAATACTTTGATAGAAACCTTGCAACCTCATACAGTAATGACAAGGAAAACGTTATGCACAAGAATACAAGAAGCTGCAAAACACAAGAAGAGCATAATCATCAAAAAGCTGAGTGCTGTGAACTATGTTGCTAACGTAGCTTCTTAGGTGTCACCTGTCACTGGATAGACAACACCTCACTGGAGAGGCACTCCACATTGGCTTGTAGACCTGTCAAAGGCTCGCACACGTTTGATGTCCTTGCTGCTGCATTAGAGGAAATACATTCTGAGTACCACATCAGGGAAAAAGTGACCAGGACAACAACAGACAGTGGCTCAAACTTCCTTTCGATTATATGGTGAGGAGAAAGAGGAGGAAGCCATCAATGTACAAGAGGAAAGTGACTCCACCCTTGATGATGCAACAGAAGATCAGAGTGAGTCAGAGGTGGAGTATCAAGATGTCTGCAATTCTGGATGACAACACAGGCCTTGAGTACCAACTTCCAAGGCACCAAAAGTGTGCATGCCATCTCCTCAATCTTATATCCACAGTTGATGCCACTGCTGCAGGAGGAGCTGCAAACGAAACCTACAAGAGGCTGTCTCGGTCTGCTTTTGCAAAATGTCATGCTCTTTGGAATAAAACCAGCAGGTCAACCATGGCTCATGAAACAGTGGAACGTGAATGCAAGCTGCAGTTTCTCCGACCCAATCAGACACGCTGGAGCTCCCTGTTCCTCGCTGTAGAAAGGATTGTGCGCATTCACCGAGAGCAAGGAGAACAAGCAATTCGCAATGTCTGCACAGCATTAAAGATAAAGATGTAAGTTGACAAAATGTATATTTTGTTTTTAAAGAATAATAAAAGTAAATAAGCCTTGCTGATTAATGGGTGAATCCACTTGTCTCAAGTAACTAAGTTTTCTTTGGATGGTGGTGTGACAATTGTGGATGACTTGAATGAAATATATATATATATATTTTTTGTATTTAACATGTACAATGCATAATAAAGACATTGTACCAGAAATAGCTATAAGTAATTGTTTTATCGTTACATCTTTTATAGGTTCAATCCAGCTGAAAATGGGTTTTTGGTCGAGTATGCTGCTGTGATGAAGCCTGTTGCCATGGCCCTTAATATCCTCCAAGGGGAATCATCTGTGCATATGGGCCTCCTGCTGCCAACACTTTACCAGTTGCGGGACAAGCTGAAGAAGTTGGAGTCAACTTGCAAAATGTGTGCACCTCTTGTTCACGCCCTGCAGCAAGGGATCCAGAAACGTTTTGGAGACGTCATGAAAGAGCCTGAGCTGACTGCAGCAGCAATACTCCTACCAAGATTCAGAACATCCTGGACCACAGAGGAGAACATCTTAAATGCTGGTAAATATACTTGTTTATCAATTCAAATGTGAACCAGTAGACATTGACCTATATAACTCTGTATAATGTTACTGTCATTTAGGATTATAGTGTGTCAGTGACAAACCACAGGGTGGCAATATAGTTAGTGTGACTTTTTTTTGCTGACTTTTCTTGTTAGATATTGGAACTGGAAGTAAACATAATGCCCGATCTACAACTACATCACTCTCCTCTAATGCCTTTTAGAGAACATGCATTCAGCTTAATTTGTGTTCTGGGATACTAGGCCTGCAATATTGTTTTATTTGGCCATCTATCATGGACTGGTGCTTTTTCAGTTGATGTGTACTGCTGCTCTTTTCCTCTGCTCAGTGAGATGTGCAGTGTGGCCTAATCACAGATCAGAGTATTCATTTCTAGGCACACAGAAAAAGGGCTGTTGCTTGCCATGCAATACAAAGGTACTGAGTAGGCCTAATCAACACCTATTGATTATTTTACGTTGACCGCTTCCTTCTGGTGTGCAGTTTTCTGTTCAGCATGCCTGGTTTGAAATGTTTGTGTGTTTCCTTCTGTTGTTCTGTCACTGTGGAGACACACACACAGTGTATGAGAGTTTATGGGCCTCGTTCTAGTTCTGCCTGGTAACAAAAGTATAAAGGTTTGGAAATTTGTGTTACTTGTGCTTATTTATTTATTTTTTATTTATTATTTTTTTTATTTTTTAATACTTGAATTTACCTGAATTATTTTAATTTAAGCTATTTTGTAATTCATTAAAGATGATTATTTTGTATTTTTGTCTGTCTGATTGTTGTCTTGTGTTAAAAAAATAAATCAGACGTTACTCAACAGTTACTCAGTACTTGAGTAGTTTTTTCACCAAGTACTTTTTTACTCTTACTCAAGTAATTATTTGGATGACTACTTTTTACTTTTACTTGAGTCATATTATTCTGAAGTAACAGTACTTTTACTTGAGTACAATTTTTGGCTACTCTACCCACCTCTGAGTAGGAGTGGCTTGTATTCTGTCGATGGTGGCTTCCTGGTTCTGTGTGATCTCAGATGTCAGATAGCAGATCTGGCCAGCAGAGGGCATGATTTGTCTGTCACAGCCAGAGAATAAATGTGTCCTTACATTTGTGCGTCAGTGTAACAACAAGAGGCACTGTACAGCAAGGTAACACAGGAGACACATCTCTATGAAAAATCTGTATTCTTTATAAGGTCATGTACAACGATACAGACATTATATAGACATTTTCTTTACGAATACCAATTTACATTATTGCAATGGATGGAAAATTAAGCTACCCATGTAGTCCACCGGATGACACTTGGAACAAAGGATACAAAACTGAGGGATAGTAGCAGCTTAATACTACAGAGGTGTTACATCTTCAATAGTCCCCTTCTGTGAAAACACTTACCAGCTTCCTCAGGAATTAACATAAAGTGATTGAGAGGAGAAACCTTTTTTAATAAGTCCTCATATTACACATTATCAGCCTACAGCATCAGGAAACGATTCCCACTTGTTACCAAGGAGCTCCTTTACTTCAGACTCCCACCAACAGAGTTTGCTTGGTGGCATCTGGAGACTGTTCAAAAGAGTGAAACATTTCAGAACTTTGCAGATAGAAATGCACCGTATAGAGTGGACATGATTGCCTATTCTCTATGACAAAGAGGACTGCTTATCTATGTGACATACTTCTATGTTAAATGATACATGTTCTGTGATGTTGCCCCCTCCTGAATAAGCCCCAGATTATGGCTGTTTTGAACGCAGGCTTCTCTCCCTCTCTCTCTCCCTTCCCCCTCTCTCTGTCTCTTTATTCCTGTTTCCCTGAACATTCCTGTTTCCATTCAGTTTGAGTGGGGGGCTAATTGGGGCTGTACTAATACAGATTTTTAAACAGAGGGAAGAAAGGGAGAAAGAGAGAAAATAAAGAGCACGAGAGAGCGTGACCCTTACCTCATCGATACCTTCTAATACCCCTCAATGTTAGCCTGGCTTCAGATCTGCTTGAGCCAGCTCCTCTGAATATTTTGAAAGCATATACAGATCTGGGACCAGCTACATTGATGTCTCTTTCTCTGTCAAATGCTGAGAGCAGGGCATACATTGTTTATCCAGAGCGACTTGAAGTACAGTGAGTGCATACATTCTTTAGTAGGTGTATGTGTTCCCTGCGAGAATTGAACACATGACCATGCCGTTGCCTGAGCCACACAGAACTACTAATAATGTGTTGTCTGATGGGTCTGTGGTTGCTGGGACTCGAGGTCTCACATTGGCATCATGTTCCCAGACCCAGGCCAGGATTCTAACGGATCAGGAAGATCCGCGTTATAGCGAATTGACATTTGAAGGTCATTTCCGATTGAGCCGACATATGCAGCATTTACCGTGATCGGTGCCGCAACCTGGCAAACCAAAGCTGTTTATTTAGGTTGGCCAACATCAACAAGGCTTGAGAGAGAGAGAGAGAGAGAGAGAGAGAGGAAGGGGAGAGAGAGAGCAGAGAGATAGAAGAAAGAGAGATACTGAGAGACGAGATGAAGAGAAGAATCAGATAGAGAGAGAGAGAGCGAGAGAGAATATCGAGCTATAGATATAGAGTACCGAGAGCTCGAGATCGCGCTCTCCTATTCTTATCTCCTCTCTCTCTCTCTTCCGTCGGAACCGACCTCTCACTTGACTCGCTGTCTTCGAAGAAGCTCGTCTCTCGCTCTCTCTCTCTCTCATCATCTCTCTCTCTTCCTGATCAGAGACTCAACCTATACAATTTGAGTCAACATACCTAGGTTTGCTCTTTTGGGATTTAATACCGGGTTTCAGTGAAAGTGTTAGTTGAAAAGCACCTTAGCAGAAAGCAGAACACAAATAAAACAGTATCCTTGATAAAAGGTGATAGATTAATACTGGACAGGGGAAATCTGAAAGTGTAGGCCTACTCCCAGAATGCAACTGTTTGGAAAAGCGAGGGGACATTGGCAACGGACATAAATATAGGCCTACTTCTCTATCGTCGTCTAATAAATAGCACAAAACAAATAAAACTCGATCGTTCGTCGTCATGGCTTCAAAGAGGGTCCTCCAGACCACGTTGGAGCATGCAGTCGACAGTCTTCAGAGAGCCAACGGGAGAGAAGGGCAACAGTTTTGTGGCTGAAACGCCACGGCCATCTCTGGTTCTCCAGTGTGTAGCACCGTAGCCAGTAAGGGGTTTTGTATGTTGGACTTGGTGGCACGCTGCTCTGCTCTCATTGGCTGCATAGAAATGTTTTAGGCCCTGTCCAAAATCAACCACTAACCTCTATGCAGTTGTGAAGATCCGAAAGGATTGGATGGGTTTCAGCGATAGGGTGAACATACCACTTAGCCTATTAGAAGTTAAAGTGGAGCTCCAACCATTTTGCTTATATACAGTATCTATCCAATCATTTTATACGGTATAAAATTATATATAGTACTGTACACAAGTTACAAGGTGGGGGGGGGGGTAAAGGGTTGTTTCTGGACAGGGCCTCAGAGTAGCTCCAATTAGGGTCCTTATTTTTCATCTAGAAAGGCTAGAGCGTCTGCTCTACTAAAATTTAAATGTAGGCCAATTTGATCCAGGCTAGTCCAAGTTTGGCTTGTCCAGGCTAGGTCAATTTGATCCAGGCCTGTCCAAACTCAGCTAGTACGGCGAAAAGATGATGGGCGTGTGAGTGGCCCTCAGGGGCCCCGGGGCGGGCCTGAAGAGCGCGGGGCTGAGCAGGGGGTTCTGGATGAGGGCTGTGTGACCGGGGCCCGGGGGCCCCCGCAGGGTCAGTGGATTGGAGGCCATGGTGCAAAGGGTGGCCGGGTTCATGTGGTTGGCCAGGAAACCTGCCGACAGGGCCTTGGACAGCTGCTTCTGCAGGGCCAGTTTGGTCTGGAAGAGAGGAACCATAGGGTTTTTAGTACGAGTCTGCGGCAGGTCACGTTCATTAGAGCATGCAACGAAAAAAGGGTGTCCACTATATATACAAAAGTATGTATTTGACCCTTGTCTGGTATTCAGTAAATTCCTGATAGTGGATTTTCGATAACTCCCTCCATCCAGGACATACTGCTGTGCAAATTCAACTTACTTCTCAAAGAAATATTTGAAAAACCCACTATCTGCACTTGATTGAATACCAGCCACCTCAAGGTCTGTGGTACTGCTGGTTTTCTTTATTCCCTGGTAAGTCATCAATTATTTTGATTGATTCATGTCACTAACCACGTTTCCATCCACAGTTTATATACGAGTAAAGTCATAGCTTATAAAAAAAATCACGACAGCTGTGATGGAAACAGGAAGTTTCGGTACAATTTTATAAATGTATTTTTTTGTCGGTCAAATTATTTGATTGGCAGTGGAAATGCCTTTATGCGCAAATATTGATATAATAACCATCATATCTAAGTAAACTTGGAGTCATGTGATGATATGGTGTGTGGTCCTCCCACTATGACTCAGGAAACGATGCAGTTGGTTAGGCTACAGATTAAATAAGTTATGAACTTCACAGGGTTGTGAAAGTGCACAGTGATCTTGATGCTCCTTTCCAATAAATATTGAGGGTCTTATTCTGGTGACATGATGATTGATGCTTGCCTGCCGTTTGACAAATAAAAATATTCTTGCTCTTATCCATAATAATCTCATCATGTAGACTAGCCTACCCGTACTGTATATGTGGGCTGTTGGCTAGAGCGGACGTGCCAAGACCAGAGTTGGCACAGTTGCTATTTTACGCAACAGTTTTTGTGACAAAACTATCGGTAGAGTTGAAAATGCGATGGAAACACAAGCTTACAAAATGTATTTGGTAAATAAAAACGTGTGTGTTTGTGTGCATTATGTCATCACGAACTGATTGTTGGTGGAAGCCAGTTTGGTGGAAACACATCACTGGTGGGAAAATGCGCATATTTTCTTTACGCATATTTTAGAATATTTCCATGACAATCTGTCGCTAATTAGATGGAAACCTAGCTATTGTTTGGCCAGAAAGTATTTTCACCTGTCACCATGTCTCTATTCAAGCCCATACAATTGTATACAAAAAGTATTTCTAGTCATTACAGTGATATACTCTAGCTCAGGCCCATACTTATTAAGGCAACCACAACATTAATGTCAGAGTGAGGGTGAATGAAACATGATGGTGAATGTCCATCACCATCAATCTGTGTGAAGCCAGTGTGGATTGTTGGCAACCTCATGAGCTGGCCTTAAATATCCCAGACAAGATTGTGACCAGGACCTAAGACACTGCCTCTCCCCAGCAGCTGGCAAAACACAAATCCTGTGTGGCCCTCTGTCTGTGTGTGTGTGTGTGTGTGTGTGTGTGTATGTGAGCATGTGCTTGCGTGTGTGTTGTGGTTATGTGACAATGTTTGTGTGTGAGTGAGGCTATGTTTACATGAGTGTGTGAGAGACATTTTTGTGCCTGCCAGTATATTTGGCCTCACCAACTTTCAAGAAGTTCTTTTTGTAGTTATTAAACTGTGGAAGAACGTGACCATGCCTATTCCCAAACATGGCCCTTTCTCAGCTATCCGATATAACAGCAGCACGCTATAGCGCTCAGTTCATTAACCCCATAGATAGACAATGGGCACAGCCAGAAGAAGACTGGCCATCCCTCAGAGCCTGGTTCCTCTAGGTTTCTTCCTAGGTTCCTGCCTTTCTACAGAGTTTTTCCTCGCCACGTGCTTCTACATCTGCATTGCTTGCTGTTTGGGGTTTTAGGCTGGGTTTCTGTATAGCACTTTGTGACATCTGCTGATGTAAAAAGGGCTTTATAATTGATTGATTGATGTGTGTTTGCCTTTTATGTGACCAGAGCCACCTAAGACAGTAGCCCAATTCAAATTCAGGTTCTTCTCCTTCCTAAGTGGGTAAAATGTGGCCCTTGACGTCTTAATGATGTTATTTTCAGCCTGTAAACTGGTTTTCTGGGTTAGAAGACCGGATGTAACTAAAATACAACCAACTGGTCTCTGTTACATCCAGGTAAAGACGTCTGATGTCATGGACGTCATAGTTTGGTTATCTGGTAAAACATCCAGACAACCAGATAAAGACATCGGTCTCCGGTTGCTAAAAAGACATTCACAAAACATCCTCATATAAGCAGTATACAACCTGACCATGACGCCATGAAAGACTTCGTAGCGACGTTATTGCAACCAGTTTTGCCAGCTGGTTTTCAACTGTCACAACATGCAGATTTCAGCTTTTGCATTTAGTGATATCTACATGACAGATGGCATGGTAGAATATGGACCCCTTTCCTTTCCAATCTCTCTCTCGGGCCCTTGGCCCTCACCTGAGGGTTGTAAGTGCTGAGGTGGCAGTGGCTGGCCAGTTTCCCTATGGCCGAGGTCACCCCCCCAAATGGGAAACCACTCCATCTCACGCTCTGCAGAGAGGACACAAGAACGGGGGAAAGGGGGCGAAAAAATAAGAACGCTGGCTGTGTGGGAATGAATGGGCAGGACAGGAGGGGTAGTTGGTGTGTGTGTGTGTGTGTGTGTTGGACGGACACTCACCGCTAAAACAGGGTTTGGCTGGCTCTTAGTATAAGGGCTGAACTTCGGTTTCTGGGGCTTTCCTGACAACCGGTCTTTGTGTCTTCTGCTGCTCATGTGCTGAGGGACAAAAGCAAAGCATGTTAGGTTTTACAGTGAGAGAAAAAAAGTATTTGATCCCCTGCTGATTTTGTACCTTTGCCCACTGACAAAGAAATGATCAGTCTATAATTTTAATGGTAGGTTTATTTGAACAGTGAAAGACAGAATAACAACAAAAATATCCAGAAAAACGCATGTCAAAAATGTTATAAATTGATTTGCATTTTAATGAGGGAAATACGTATTTGACCCCCTCTCAATCAGAAAGATTTCTGGCTCCCAGGTGTCTTTTATACAGGTAATGAGCTGAGATTAGGAGCACACTCTTAAAGGGAGTGCTCCTAATCTCAGCTTGTTACCTGTATAAAAGACACCTGTCCACAGAAGCAATCAATCAATCAATCAGATTCCAAACTCTCCACCATGGCCAAGACCAAAGAGCTCTCCAATGATGTCAGGGACAAGATTGTAGACCTACACAAGGCTGGACTGCGCTACAAGTTCATCGCCAAGCAGCTTGGTGAGAAGGTGACAACATTTGGTTTGATTATTCGCAAATGGAAGAAACACAAAATAACTGTCAATCTCCCTCGGCCTGGGGCTCCATGCAAGATCTCACCTCGTGGAGTTGCAATGATCATGAGAACGGTGAGGAATCAGCACAGAACTACACGGGAGGATCTTGTCAATGATCTCAAGGCAGCTGGGACCATAGGCACCAAGAAAACAATTGGTTACACACTACGCCGTGAAGGACTGAAATCCTGCAGCGCCCGCAAGGTCCCCCTGCTCAAGAAAGCACATATACAGGGCCGTCTGAAGTTTGCCAATGAACATCTGAATGATTCAGAGGAGAACTGGGTGAAAGTGTTGTGGTGAGATGAGACCAAAATCGAGCTCTTTGGCATCAACTCAACTCGCCGTGTTTGGAGGAGGAGGAATGCTGCCTATGACCCCAAGAACACCATTCCCACCGTCAAACATGGAGGTGGAAACATTATGCTTTGGGGGTGTTTTTCTGCTAAGGGGACAGGACAACTTCACCGCATCAAAGGGATGATGGACGGGGCCATGTACCGTCAAATCTTGGGTGAAAACCTCCTTCCCTCAGCCAGGGCATTGAAAATGGGTTGTGGATAGGTATTCCAGCATGACAATGACCCAAAACACATGGCCAAGGCAACAAAGGAGTGGCTCAAGAAGAAGCACATTAAGGTCCTGGAGTGGCCTAAGCAGTCTCCAGACCTTAATCCCATAGAAAATCTGTGGAGGGAGCTGAAGGTTCGAGTTGCCAAACGTCAGCCTCGAAACCTTAATGACTCGGAGAAGATCTGCAAAGAGGAGTGGACAAAATCCCTCCTGAGATGTGTGCAAATCTGGTGGCCAACTACAAGAAACGTCTGACCTCTGTGATTGCCAACAAGGGTTTTGCCACCAAGTACTAAGTCATGTTTTGCAGAGGGGTCAAATACTTATTTCCCTCATTAAAATGCAAATCAATTTATAACATTTTTGACATGCGTTTTTCTGGATTTTTTTGTTGTTATTCTGTCTCTCACTGTTCAAATAAACCTACCATTAAAATTATAGACTGATCATGTCTTTGTCAGTTGGCAAACGTACAAAATCAGCAGGGGATCAAATACTTTTTTCCCCTCACTGTATATTGAGTGAAACATCCCTTAAAAGCTACATTGTGGGATTCATTCTAAATACATTTGAAAATCCCACTTGTTTTCGTCTACAGCTGAGCGATAGGACTAGGGAAATGTAACCCCTCTCAAATTCATAGACAGAGCTCCACATGCAAGGACTGAGTGCATGGCATATATATACTGAAGCTGTACTACACACACTCAAAAACACTCAGAAACACACACACCTGTTTGAGCTGCGTCTCCGAATTGACGGACACTTCACACATCTCGCAGTGGAATGGTTGGCTAGCCAGGGCCACGCCCACCCTGGCCTTGCTGCTGATTGACTGCTTGCTCCTGCACGTCGGCCTAGGCGATGACATTACCTTGCCTCGGCGTCGCGCCTGAGCACCCGCCTGGCCCTCCAGCATCTGCTTGTGTTTGGAGCCTAGGACACCACAGACACATCACAGACACACATCACAGACACGACCACATGGCTATTGATTCCTTTATCAGTTAAAATGTTAATTTAATCAGAATCATAGGTCACCATTTAAATAGTATCTACTTATCACTCAATAGAAAACACCATACAGACAGCGGTCTAAGGCACTGCATCTCAGTGCTTGAGGCATCACTACAGAACCCCTGGTTCGATTCCAGGCTGTATCACAACCAGCCGTGATTGGGAGTCCCATAGGGCGGCGCACAATTGGCACAGCGTCGTCCGGGTTTGGCCGGTGTAGGCCGTCATTGTAAATAAGAATTTGTTCTTAACTGACTTGCCTAGTTAAATAAAGGTAAAATAAATGAATAAATAAATAAATAAATAAATAGACATATTGCAGTGCATACCGCTATAGTGGGCTTCTAGCTGGGACGAGGAGTTGACTGTGACTTTGCACATGGGACAGTGGAGGTGCTGCTTGGCGGGGGGGCTCTTTTTTCCCTGCCTGGTCTCCTCTTCCCCTTCTGGTGCCCCTGGGGACTCCCCCTGGCCCTCCAGCGGCGGGTTGGAGTCCGGTGTCGGGCTGGGACCCTCCATAGGGCTACCGTCTGACGTGAGCTCTGAGAGCTGGTAGGCAGCAGGGGAGACCTGGGGGGAGAGGAGGGCCAAGGCGTCCAGGGAAGAGGTCTCCGAGACGGGCGTAGGGGTTGGGGAGACCCCCTGGAGGGTGTCATCCAGCTTCGGTCTGGTGGGGGGCTGGGGAGCCGATAGCAGGCCTGGGGAGAGAGACGTTGCTGTTTGAGAGTTATCGTACATGTGGTATTCACATACAAACAGGGATTGGGGTTACATTGTCTTCCGACAGGTCCTACACACCACTAGCCCCTCAACTGACTCTAATCTCTATCTGACGTCAGACAATGGAGTTAGGGCTACATGGGGAGAGAAAGGCCAGCACTAACTTGGCAACTATATCAGGCAGCCAAAGACAGTGGATTCATGTGAGAGCTGGATTCAATTAAATACACATGCAGAGCAGCTAATCAATGTAGATTCTGCTGTGTTTACTGAGAGCAGTGCTCGACACTGGTAGCATGTTTAGCCTCTCTCTACCTGTCTCTCTAGATACATACATAGGTCAAATTGATTTGATCATTTAAAATTACAATTACAACCACATAAGTGTATCTCTACATCTCTCAGTCTGTTGCTCTCTGAATATTTCTTTTCAATTCAATATACTTTATTGACATGGAACGTGCTAGACAACCATTTACAGGTCTTGCCATAGATTTTCAAGTAGATTTAAGTCAAAACTGTAACTCGGCCACTCAGGAACATTCACTGTCTTCTAGGTAAGCAACTCCAGAGTAGATTTGGCCGTGTCTGGTGGAAAGCAGACTGAACCAGGTTTTCCTCTAGGATTTGTCCTGTGGTTAGCTCCATTCCGTTTCTTTTTTATCATGAAAAACTCCCCAGTCCTTAACAATTACAAGCATACCCATAACATGATGCAGCCACCACTATGCTTGAAAATATGGAGAGTGGTACTCAGTGATCTGATCTATTGGATTTGCCCCAAACATAATACTTTGTATTCAGGTAAAAAAAGTATTATTGCAAACAGGATGCATGTATTAGAATATTTTTATCCTGTACAGGCTTCCTTCTTTTCACTCTGTCAAATAGGTTAGTATTGTGGAGTAACTACAATGTTGTTGAGCCAAGCTCAGTTTTCTCGTATCACAGCCATTAAACTCTGTAACTGTTTTAAAGTCACCATTGGCCTCACGGTGAAATCCCTGAGTAGTTTCCTTCTTTGTAGTGGTTGGGTGTATTGATACACCATCCAAAGTGTAATTAATAACTTCACCATGCTCAATATCTGTTTTTTGTTTTTTTACCCATCTACCAATAGGTGCTCTTCTTTGTGAGGCATTGGAAAACCTCCCTGGTCATTGTGGTTGAATCTGTGTTCAAAATTCACTGCGCAACTGAGGGACCTTACAGATAGTTGTATGTGTGGGGTACAGAGATGAGGTAGTCATTCAAAAATCATGTTAAACACTATTATTGCACAAAAAGTGAGTCCATGCAACTTATTATGTGACTTGTTAGGCCAATTTTTTTTCTTGAACTTATTTAGGCTTGCCATAATAAAGGGATTGAATACTTATTAACTCTAGACATTTCAGCTTTTCATTTTTAAAACATAATTCTACGTTGATATTATGGGGTATTGTGTGTAGGTCAGCGACAAAAAAATCTCAATTGAATCCATTTGAAATTCAGGCTGTAACACAACAAAATGTGGAAAGGTCAAGGGCTGTGAATACTTTCTGAAGGCACTGTACATTGTCAAAGTAAACATATAACAACGATGGTCAAAGACAGGAATACAGTGGCTTGCGAAAGTATTCACCCCCCTTGGCATTTTCCCTATTTTGTTGCCTTACAACCTGGAATTAAAATGGAATTTTGGGGGGTTTGTATAATTTGATTTACACAACATGCCTACCACTTTGAAGATGCAAAATATTTTTTTGGGGTGAAACAAACAAGAAATAACACAAAAAAAACAGAACTTGAGCATGCATAACTATTCACCCCCCCCCAAAGTCAATACTTTGTAGAGCCACCTTTTGCAGCAATTACAGCTGCAAGTCTCTTGGGGTATGTCTCTATAAGCTTGGCACATCTAGCCACTGGGATTGTTGCCCATTCTTCAAGGCAAAACTGCTCCAGCTCCTTCAAGTTGGATGGGTTCCGCTGGTGTACAATTGGATTGAGGTCTGGGCTTTGACTAGGCCATTCCAAGACATTTAAATGTTTCCCCTGAAATCACTTGAGTGTTGCTTTAGCAGTATGCTTAGGGTCATTGTCCTGCTGGAAGGTGAACCTCCATCCCATTCTCAAATCTCTGGAAGACTGAAACAGGTTTCCCTCAAGAATTTCCCTGTATTTAGCGCCATCCATCATTCCTTCAATTCTGACCAGTTTCACGGTCCCTGCTGACGAAAAACATCCCCACAGCATGATGCTGCCACCACCATGCTTCACTGTGGGGATGGTGTTCTCGGGGTGATGAGAGGTGTTGGGTTTGCGCCAGACATAGCGTTTTCCTTGATCTGACCAGAGTACCTTCCTCCATATGTTTGGTGAGTCTCCCACATGCCTTTTGGCGAACACCAAACGTGTTTGCTTATTTTTTTCTTTAAGCAATGCCATTTTTCTGGCCACTCTTCCGTAAAGCTCAGCTCTGTGGAGTGTATGGCTTAAAGTGGTCCTATGGACAGATACTCCAATCTCCGCTGTGGAGCTTTTCAGCTCCTTCAGGGTTATTTTTGGTCTCTTTGTTGCCTTTCTGATTAATGCCCTCCTTGCCTGGTCTGTGAGTTTTGGTGGGCGGCCCTCTCTTGGCAGGTTTGTTGTGGTTCCATATTCTTTCCATTTTTTAATAATGGATTTAATGGTGCTCTGTGGGATGTTCAACGTTTCTGATATATTTTTATAACCCAACCCTGATCTGTACTTCTCCACAACTTTGTCCCTGACCTGTTTGGAGAGCTCCTTGGTCTTCATGGTGCCGCTTGATTGGTGGTGCCCCTTGTTTAGTGGTGTTGCAGACTCTGGGGCCTTTCAGAACAGGTGTATATATACTGAGATCATGTTATTTAACTAAATATGTGACTTCTGAAGGTAATTGGTTGCACCAGATCTTATTTAGGGGCTTCATAGCAAAGGGGGTGATTATATATGCACGCACCACTTTTCCGTTATTAATTTTTTAGAATTCTTTAAAACAAGTTTTTTTTTCATTACACTTCACCAATTTGGAAATCCAAATAAAAATCCATTTAAATTACAGGTTGTAATGCAACAAAATAGGAAAATCACCAAGGGGGATGAATACTTTTGCAAGGCACTGTATACTAGAATGTTTGTAATAAATCAATAATCTCACCTTTCTCTCACTCTCTCTCCCTTTCTCTCTCTCCCTTTTTCTCTCTCTCCCTTTTTCTCTCTCCCTCTCCCTTTCTCTCCATCAATCAATTGCCATGGTTACCCTGGATATAAAGGCTCTATCATTATGTCGTTAAATGGAATTGAAATATGGTGAACAAAGGAGAGAATCGATAGAAAAAGAAGATGAGTCTTGTAAATACAGCGAAGGAAGGAGCGACAGGAGATGGGGTTATTTTCAGATGAGAAAAATGGCTTGACAAATGACAAGACAAAGATACTGTTCTGATTGGTAAACGGCATGGCCGACATTTTCTGTCCACAAAACAGCACTAAAATTATCAATATTTTTAGCAGGAATGATCTCCTACCGTAACTTAGGTTTTTACGATGTCTGTGAGAAATCTGTGATCTTTAAAGCGGATTCAACACAAGTGTCGTGAAGATGGGTTGCATGCAATGCAATCCCTAGCAGTAGCATTCCAAACTTGGATTAAGAGTAGCTGTCTTGTCTACCTAAACTGGCTATTATGGGCAAGTTTCTTTGCTGTGAGAACTGTTTTGCGGACAGAAAACAAGGTTACAATTAACCTGGAATCCACACTTATTCAATGAATTGAAACAATGGCGAAACAGAACAATATTCAATGTGGATTCCAGGATAGCTTACAACAACAGCTCTGCTCCAACACGTCAATACCACATCCTCCGCATGCATGTTCCTTGCTATGATCACTGATCTGACATGAATCCTAACTGTTGATGGCAATCAGATCTCAACCCTTACTTCAAAGGAAGGAGGAGAGCAGGCGAGAGTGGAACTTTTTTTTCCAGACCTGGTATTTTACCTGTTCCCTCTGTGAGGCTGGGGTCCATCAGTGCTGGTAGGGCCTTTGACACTCCAGTCTTCCCCCTCTCCCTGTCTCTCTCCCTCCCTGCCATGGAGCCCTGGCCCCTCTGACGGTTCCTCTGGGCGTCCATGGCTTTCAGCTTGCGTGCGTGTTTGTGGCCCTTGTAGTGAGCCTCAGCCTGGTTCTGGTCATAGAGTAGACAAAGAAACAGTATGAGAGGAGATGAGATCTCTGGATCTCAGCATCAGAACAGCAACCAAAAGTGACAAGAAATGAGGAAAGGGGAAAGGATTTTGGCAAACAACTTGGTAACTAGTTACACAGTTTATACAGCGCATTCGGAAAGTATTCAGACCCCTTGACTTTATCCACATTTTGATACGTTACAGCCTTATTCTCAAATGGATTAAATCGTTTTTTTCCTCCCATCAATCTACACACAATACACCATAATGACAAAGCAAAAACAGTTTTTTATTTTTTATTATTGCAAATTTATTAAAAATAAAAAACTGAAATATTACATTTACATAAGTATTCAGACCCTTTAATCAATACTTTGTTGAAGCACCTTTGGCAGCGATTACAGCCTTGAGTCTTCTTGGGTATAACGCTACAAGCTTGGCACACCTGTATTTGGGGAGTTTATCCCATTCTTCTCTGCAGATCCTCTCAAGCTATGTCAGGTTGGATGCGGAGCATCGCTGCACAGCTATTTTCAGAGACTTGTCCCGAAGCCACTCCTGCGTTGTCTTGGCTGTGTGCTTAGGGTCGTTGTCCTGTTGGAAGGTGAACCTTCACCCCAGTCTGAGGTCGTGAGCGCTCTGCAGCAGGTTTTCATCAAGGATCTGTCTGTACTTTGCTCTGTTCATCTTTCCCTCGTTCCTGACTAGTCTCCCGGTCCCTGCCGCTGAAAAATATCCCCACAGCATGATGCTGCCACCACCATGCTTCACTGTAGGGATCGTGCCAGGTTTCCTCTAGACGTGACGCTTGGCATTCAGGCCAAAGAGTTCAATCTTGGTTTCATCAGACCAGAGAATCTTGTTTCTCATGGTCTGAGAGTCCTTTAGGTGCCTTTTGGCAAACTCCAAGCGGGCTGTCATGTGCCTTTTACTGAGGAGTGGCTTCCATCTGGCCACTCTACCATAAAAGCCTGATTGGTGGAGTGCTGCAGAGATGGTTGTCCTTCTGGAAGGTTCTCCCATCTCCACAGAGGAACTCTGGAGCTCTGTCAGAGTGACCAATGGGTTCTTGGTCACCTCCCTGAGCAAGGCCCTTCTCATCCGATTGCTCAGTTTGGCTGGGCGGCCAGCTCTAGGAAGAGTCTTGGTGGTTCCAAACTTCTTCCATTTAAGAATGAGGGAGGCCACTGTGTTCTTGGGGACCTTCAATACTGCAGAAATGTTTTGGTACCCTTCCCCAGATCTTTGCCTCGAAACAATCCTGTGTCTGAGCTCTACAGACAATTTCTTCGACCTCATGGCTTGGTTTTTGCTCTGACATGCACTGTCAACTGTGTGACCTTATATAGACAGGTGTGTGCCTTTCCAAATCATGTCCAATCAATTGAATTTACCACAGGTGGACTCCAATCATGTTGTAGAAACATGTCAAGGATGATCAATGGAAACAAGATGCACCTGAGCTCAATTTCAAGTCTCATAGCAAATGGTCTGAATATTTATGTAAATAACGTATTTCAGTTTTTCTAATTGTAATAAATGTGCAAAAAATTCTAAAAACCTGTTTTCGCTTTGTCATTATGGGGTATTGTGTGTAGATTGATGAGGGGGGAAAAGAATGTAATCAATTTTAGAATAAGGCTGTAATGTAACAAAATGTGGAAAAAGTCAAGGGGTCTGAATACTTTCCGAATGCACTGTATATATACAGTACATAATAGCCCCATCAAGCAGTTCTTCAATTCCTTGATAAGCATAGCTTGAGCCCCCAAAATTTAATTAGTTCTCGTGAATGGACCAGTCCACAGATGTATTGAGCATTCCCTCTGTGTTCATGAGTCTCTGTGTGCTCAGTGAGTGTGTGTGTGTGCTCAGTGAGTGTGAGTGTGAGTGTCAGTTTTTGTGAGTGTGGACTGCGATGGTTCTTCTATGTGTGGATTTGGATGCCAGCAGAGAGAGGGTGTCTGGGTTTACTGCTTTTTCTGGCTGATAGGCGGAGAAAGGCTCACAACTTTCACAGAGATAGAGGAACAGGAGAACGCATGCGCACACACGCACACGCACACGCACACACACACACCGTCAGAGTGATGAACGATCTGACAGAGAGGAGGATAGCTTCAGCCTGTATTATCGTTGTAACGGAATTGACTGACTTACGGTGGAGTTGAAGCGGAGGTGACATATGTTGCAGGAGATTATCTGTTTCCTCTTGGGCGGTGCCACGCCGAACGTGTGGTTGATAACCGCCTTCTGGACCGGGTCCATCTGTCGCACACAAAACAAGCCAGACTAAACCCAAACATTACTCAGATTTAGTTGTGTCTAACTATTACAGGGGCGGTCAACCAACCCTCCTGGGGAGCTACTCTCCTGTAGGCCTTTGCTCTAACATACCTGGCTCATGTTCATCAGGGCACGCAACGGAAAACCTTTAGAATGCTTCACAACGGAAAGTGAAAATTAGTGCAGGTCCAGGTATTCCCTGTTTCAGTCGGTTTGATTCCGTTTGGGGCCTAATGAACACGACCCTAATCAAGGTCTTGAGGAGCAGCTGATTAGTATAATCAGGTGTGTTTGAGCAGGGCTGGAGCAAAAGCCTGCAGGGGGGTATAGCTCCTCAGGAGGGTTGTTGTCCATGACCACCCCTGAACTACAAGGTCAGGGAGGGTTACACAACGCGAGTCCTGCTGATTTCTTGATTGGCAAGACATTTTCCAACAAATAATTTGGTCTGATATTGTATGGCAAGGACATAAGAAGACAGCCAACCAACACTGCTGCCCTCCAGGACTGAAGTTGAGCATGTATTCACTAAGTTGACTGTGCCTTTAAACAGCTTGGAAAATTCCAGAAAATGGCTTTAGAAGCTTCTGATAGGCTAATTGACATCATTTGAGTCAATTGGAGGTGTACCTGTGGATGTATTTCAAGGCCTACCTTCAAACTCAGTGCCTCTTTGCTTGACATCATGGGAAAATCAAAAGAAATCAGCCAAGACTTCAGAAATAAAATTGTAGACCTCCACAAGTCTGGTTCATCCTTGGGAGCAATTTCCAAATGCCTGAAGGTACCACGTTCATTTGTACAAACAATAGTACGCAAGTATAAACACCATGGGACCACGCAGCCGTCATACCGCTCAGGAAGGAGACACGTTCTGTCTCCTAGAGATGAACGTACTTTGGTGCGAAAAGTGCAAATCAATCCCAGAACAACAGCAAAGGACCTTGTGAAGATGCTGGAGGAAACAGGTACAAAAGTATCTATATCTACAGTAAAACCAGTCCTATATCGACATAACCTGAAAGGCAGCTCAGCAAGGAAGAAGCCACTGCTCCAAAACCGCCATAAAAAAGCCAGACTACGGTTTGCAACTGCACATGGGGACAAAGACTGTACTTTTTGATAAAATGTCCTCTGGTCTGATGAAACAAAAATAGAACTGTTTGGCCATAATGACCATCGTTATGTTTGGAGGAAAAAGGGAGCTGCTTGCAAGCCGAAAATCACCATCCCAACTGTGAAGCACGGGGGTGGCAGCATCATGCTGTGGGGGTGCTTTGCTGCAGGAGGGACTGGTGCACTTCACAAAATAGATGGCATCATGAGGAAGGAAAATTATGTGGATATATTGAAGCAACATCTCAAGACATCAGCCAGGAAGTTAAAGCTTGGTCCCAAATGGGTCTTCCAAATGGACAATGACCCCAAGCATACTTCCAAAGTTGTAGCAAAATGGCTTAAGGACAACAAAGTCAAGGTATTGGAGTGGCCATCACAAAGCCCTGACCTCAATCCTATAGAAGATTTGTGGGCAGAACTGAAAAAGTGTGTGCGAGCAAGGAGGCCTACAAACCTGACTCAGTTACACCAGTTCTGTCAGGAGGAATGGGCCAAAATTCACCCAACTTATTGTGGGAATCTTGTGGAAGGCTACACGAAACGTTTGACCCAAGTTAAACAATTTAAAGGCAATGCTACCAAATACTAATTGAGTGTATGTAAACTTCTGACCCACTGGGAATGTGATGAAAGAAATAAAAGCTGAAATAAATAATTCTCTCTACTATTATTCTGACATTTCACATTCTTAAAATAAAGTGGTGAACCTAACTGACCTAAGAGAGGGAATTTTTACTAGGATTAAATGTCAGGAATTGTGAAAAACTGAGTTTAAACGTATTTGGCTAAGGTGTATGTAAACTTCCGACTTCAACTGTACATGTCATCAAGTACATAAGGGAACAGGTAATAAGACAGGAACTGGACATACTCCCGAACAGTGTGTGTGTGTGTGTGTGTGTGTGTGTGTGCTAGGCTTTGGCGATATACCGTTTATACCGTATACCGGGGTATTTCGAAATACCGATGATATGATTTTCAATTCCCTCGCTGAGGCTGCGGGGGTGCGTGCGACGGCACTGCTTATAACTATACATTAAGTAGAACTATAAGAAATCAAAGATGTGTCAAATAAATGATATCCAGCTCTGGGTTCCAGCTATGCATTTGGTTTGCTAACTTGCTAGCTATGTGGCTAGATGTCAAGATCAAGCTTCTTGGTTACAGCAGATATATGCAATTCCCTCCTGGATCAAGATCCCTGTTGCCTAAATATATTTGTGCGCCCCCCCCATTTGTGCGCCCCTTGTGTGCACACTCTGTAATACCATATACCCCGGTATGGTACAGAAACGGTATGACGGTATGAAAATCTGGATACCTCCCAACCCTAGTGTGTGCATGCCTGTATACATGCATGTGTGTGAGAGCAGCTCACCCTGTTGAAGTTGGGGAAGAGGTTGAGGGGGGAGGAGGAGGAGGCATTGACGTGGAGCGGCAGGAAGTGCTTGATGTCCAGCTGGGTCTGGAGGGGCCGTCCCGGGAGGGACAGGGAGGCCAGGAGGGGGTTGACCTGGGACAGTGTACCTGTGGAGGGTGGGTGGAGGACATACAGATGCTGAAAATCCATTGTCTTCCAACAGGTGTTGTCAATTCTACCTGACATACTGTCTGGCGTAAGACAATGGGCTAAGACTGGAATTCAATTGTCACCGACAACTCTTTGCTGTATTGGCGGTGTCAACTGGAGGTGATCAACACACCTCCCAAGCTACTTGGTAGACTATGACTACCTATCATCCTTGTGCACTCAGACTGACATCTTGTGGACCTTTTCATTGGAAATGAATACAAAGCCACACCTCTCCTTGAAATAAATTCTGACTGCCATATAGGGATGAGAATTTGAAATTATTTTGCTATTCGAATAATATCATGATAATTTTTCGGATATCCAGATAGTCAAAATACAAATGTCTTAAAGAAAATATATAATTTTTAAACTTCAATCGAGACTTGAGAGAGAACCGGTGCGATGCGCTCCGCTTTCAGGGGCCGGTGTGTGTGACAGTCAGTGTGGCACGGAGGGAGAGAGAAAGAGAGAGAGAGGGCAAGAGAGAAGCCAAACCGACTCACGCTAGTTAGACAAAGTTGGTGCTGCAATAGTGTCACGGATTCAGCCGAGGCTGCTCCTCCTCCTTGCTCGGGCAGGCTTCGGCGTTCGTCGTCCCCGGAGTACTAGCTGCTGCCGATCGATGTTTCTGTGTTTGTCTTGTTTGGTCTTTATTGTTTACACCTGTTTCCCATGATGTTTTATTGTGTTCCCTTTATAACCCTCTGTTTCTCATTGTGTATTGTGCGTAATTGTTTTGGTCTTTGCGGCAGTTTCCCATGTGTGCGGGTCATATTATTTCCTCTCTGATTGAGGTTGCCTTTGTACTTTGTATTTGAACTGCATCCAGTAAAGTTTCTACCAGTAGCTCGGTGTCCTGCTCTTGACTTCGCCTACCGCATACACGTCGCTGTGACAAATAGGTTATCTGTCATACCATCTGGTAGTGCCTGTCTTGACCGCATCAAATTGTTGTAAAGAAGCTAGCTAGCTACAGGAGCCAGCTAATTTAGGCTATTTTGCTGCACTTCCCATCCTTGTCTAAAACAACTCGATTCATATGAAACAACAGCTTACCTGTTGGTCGATCATTGTAGCCTACTCCTTCTCATTTAGCCAACTTAATTCCATAATTTTAAATCTCACTTCACTTGCTACACATGGATGGCTCCCGAGTGGCGCAGTGGTCTAAGGCACTGCATCTCAGTGCTTGAGGCTGTATCACAACTGGCCGTGATTTGGAGTCCCATAGGGCGCCGCACAATTGGCCCAGTGTCGTCCGGGTTTGGCCGGTGTAGGCCGTCATTGTAAATAATAATTTGTTCTTAACTGACTTGCCTAGTTAAATAAAGGTAAAAAATAAATAAATGGAGCCTCTGACTGTAGCGCTGCTTTGATTGACCGACAATAACAACAACTTGAGGTATTGGGTGTAGGCTACCGGGGTGCCTTTTTTAAGGGACGCACTCATAAAAACTGTAATAAAACAGTTGTTTTATTACAATTTTGAATGTAATGGTCTATCCTTGTAAGCTATCTAGCAATGTCACAGATCATTTGATTGAATTTTAGACAAAGCCTTTAAAACCTTTCTCTCAGAAATGAATACTCTCCCAAGTAATTGGATACTAATGTCTGTTCGGATATTCGAATAACCGTGCCAATCCCTACTGCCATACTGAGTACTTCAATCTACACATTTCTGTCCTTCTGTCTAGTAAGCAGAACTCTCAATGTGCAAAATTGTCCAAAAATAACCAGAACATTTTAAGGATTAAGGACAGCACTTAATCCAAATCAAGTTTGGAGTACTGCAGCTGGCACACACATTTCTATTGTGGTACAGCTATAGGAGGTTGGTCAGCAGAGAGAGAGAGGGAAGAGAGAGAGAGAGGGAAAAGAGAGATGGCATAGCAGTGCGGTCCTGTATTCTGTTGTGTCCTCGTGTGAATAGCCAGTTTTTTTGTATTTTTTCGTATATATTTCTCTATCTCACTTTCCATCCTTAACTAAATATACTTTCCTGCAACCCGCCTCACCCAATGTGGAAAGGATTCTATTATTTCTTCATACCTTTTATCAAGAACCCACAGCTGAAACTAGCCAGCTAACTAGCTACTTGCTATTAGCTATTGCTATTAGCCACCGTTAGCGGTCTTCACCACTGTCCGTGGCCTGCACTACCTACCAGCCAGCTCTAGCCTGAACAATTATCGGCCAGTCTGCACAGCGTGCTATCGACCCAGAGCATTTAGGATTTTCTGCCGGAATCACTGAATCACTGGACCTTAACACAGGATGATCACAACTAGCTAGCTGCAACCGAATGGATGTTGTTGTTGGCTAATCACCACTTGTCCCAAAGCTAGCACCAGTTAGCATTGAGCTAGCCTCGAGCCAGGATCGACACGGAGCCCCGCCGATCCATCACGACTGGTCTGCCGACGTAATCGTCTGATGTGGTTTCAACAGGCTTCCCGTTGCGACGACCACGAAGATCCATCTGCTAGCACCGGCCCGCTAGCACGCGCAATCAACAGCCGTGCCTCCTGCTCGCCTGTGCTGTAGCAGCCTACGAACTGCTCCCGGACTTACCTATTGCTGTTCACTGGACCTTATGATCACTCAGCTACACATCTGATGCCCGCTGGACTGTTCCTTTACACGGTACCCCATCCTGTTTATTTGTTTAGCCTCAGCCCAAACTTTCATCGCCATTATCAGTTGTCCCCAGTCCCGCTCAACCTGCCGCAGATAGCTTCTTTGTCCCACCCCCCATACATGCGGAGACCGGCTCAATCGGTACCTCCAGTGATGCTATCTCTTTCATTGTTACCAACTGCTTAGGTGTACCTAATAATAATAATAATAATAATAATAATATGCCATTTAGCAGACGCTTTTATCCAAAGCGACTTACAGTCATGTGTGCATACATTTTTACGTATGGGTGGTCCCGGGGTTCGAACCCACTACCCTGGCGTTACAAGAGCCATGCTCTACCAATTGAGCTACAGAGGACCTCCACTGTACTCATATCCTTCCATATCCTTGTCTGTACATAACGCCCTGAATCTATTCTACAACGCCCGGAAATCTGCCCCGTTTATTCTCTGTACCCAACGCACTAGAAGACCAGTTCTTAAAGCCTTTAGCCGTATACTTATTCTATTCCTCCTCTGTTCCTCTGGTAATGTAGAGGTTAACCCAGGCCCTGTAGTACCACAGTATCACTCCTACTCCCCAGGCGCTATCATTTGTTGACTTCTGTAACCGTAAAAGCCTTGGTTTCTTGCATGTTAACATCAGAAGCCTCCTCCCAAAGTTTGAGTTATTCACTGCGTTAGCACACTCTGCCAACCCTGATGTTCTAGCAGTGTCTGAATCCTGGCTTAGGAAGGCCACCAAAAATTCAGAAATGTCCATCCCGAACTACAACATTATCCGTCTAGATAGAACTGCCAAAGGGGGCGGAGTTGCAATCTACTGTAGAGATAGCCTGCAGAGCTCTATCATACTATCCAGGTCTGTGCCCAAACAGTTTGAGCTTCTTCATCTAAAAATCCACCTTTCCAGAAATAAGTCTCTCACTGTTGCCGCTTGCTACAGACCCCCCTCAGCCCCCAGTTGTGCCCTGGACACCATATGTGAATTGCTTGCCCCCGATCTATCCTCAGAGTTCGTACTGCTTGGTGACCTAAACTGGTATATGCTTAACACCCCGGCCGTCCTACAATCTAAACTAGATGCCCTCAATCTCACACAAATTATCAAGGAACCTACCAGGTACCACCCTAAATCCGTAAACATGGGCACGCTCATAGATATCATCCTGACTAATTTACCCTCTAAATACACCTTCGCTGTCTTCAACCTGGATCTCAGCAATCACTGCCTCATTGCCTGTGTCCGTAATGGGTCCGCGGTCAAACAACCACCCCTCATCACTGTCAAACGCTCACTAAAACACTTCAGCGAGCAGGCCTTGTCACGCCCTGGCTCTGGGGACACTTGTATGTTGAGCCAGGGTGTGCGTTTCATTTGTTTATCTAGTAGTTGCATTTCTATGTTGGCCAGATTGGTTCCCAATCAGAGGCAACGAGTGTCAGCTGGTGCTGGTTGTCTCTGATTGGGAACCATATTTATACAGGCTGTTTTCCCACAGTTGTTGTGGGATCTTGTTCTAGTTGGTTTGTGTTTGACCGTTGACTGCCACGTTATCGTTTTTGTTGTTTTGGTCGTGTATCGCTAATAAAGAGTATGTTCGTCTGCAACGCTGCGCCTTGGTCCTCATCTGTTCCCGACGATCGTGACAGAAGATCCCACCAAAACTGGACCAAGCAGCGTGTCCAGGAGCCATCGCCAGGGGAATCGCTAGCAGATCTCCGTGGCAGCCTCGACTGGGTCAAGCCTAGTGAAGAGCAGAGAGGGTGGACTTGGGAACAGTGGAGGAAGAGTCTCGACTGGGTCAAGCCAAATGAAGAGCAGAATGGCTGGAGTTGGAAGCAGAAGAGCGAGAGTTGGGCGAGAACTATAGAGGCCTGGCCCACGGGGAGGAGAGAACCCCAGAATTTTTTTAGGGGGGGCTCACGCCGTGGACGACGGGGCAGCAGGAGGCCGCGATGGAGCGGTCCAGCGGGTGTGCAGAGGAGGCCGCCAGGTTAAGGGGGCCACTGGTCACAGAGGAGAGGGAAAGTGTGGAGGCACGGCGAGAGGTACTGGGGTGTGTTACCAGTCCGGTCCGGCCGGTTCCTGATCCCTGCATAGGGCCAGTGGTGTGTGTCCCCAGTACGGTCCGGCCTGTTCCTGTTCCTCGCATCGAGCCTGTGGTGCGCGTCGCCAGCCCGGCCCGGCCTGTTCCTGCTCCCCGCACCGAGCCTATGGTGCGCGTCGCCAGCCCGGCCCGGCCTGTTCCTGCTCCCCGCACCGAGCCTATGATGCGCGTCGCCAGCCCGGCCCGGCCTGTTCCTGCT